TCCCCTAATATCAATTGTGACTGGGAAGCATATTGGGGGGGGGTAGGCTGTCCAAACTTTCGACCTGCCTGTCAGACACCCCAGAAACAGGAAAACAGAATATTCCTCATGTGGTGGTAAAGGTTGCATGAAAGTGGACATTTTTCATCGAGTAATTGTCAACGGCCAAAAATTGAGTCTCAACCTGGTAGTTGTAGTCAGGAAACCCGCAGAAACAAGAACAGCTGTGGTAGTTGTAACTACCTAAAACTGTGAGTGCATAGTGACAATCCCAAACTTGAAGCAAAAAATTATAAAGATATATGAAAAAAGTAAGAGAAGTTGGACAAAGCAACTTTTCACAATTCAAAAATGCAAAAAAGTAAAGAAATATTAAAGAAAAACTAAGTCTGTACAATAAAGGAAAACATCGACAAATGTGCAAGTAAAAACAATACATTTATACAGTACCACTGCCAGTCAAGAAGTAATTAATGAGTGCAAATGTGGAGACAGAGCTGGTTATGATAGGGGTTGTGTTATGCTCCTATTGGTGGAGAGCTGCTGCATCATCATTTACATGTGGATATGCAGAAGTGGAAGGTGGAAGGCTAGTGGTGAGTGTTGAACATTTGTGCCAACAGAGGGCAGTACTAATCCAGAAAAGCTATTTTGTGAGGTAAGATATTGTATTGGAAATAAGAGCATTTTTCAAAGAAATGAAATATCAAGATTTTACTGAAACCATGTTAGAAGTTTTCTCAACACAAAAACCACTCAATAATATTTTAAAGATTTTTCCAGATAACTAAACATGAGCTGAAAAACACCTTCCTGCTACTGCATTATAAATCTTACCAATGATAATTTTTTTCCACCATACAACAATAAGAAATAAAAAATCTGTGCTAAAATTAGTCATAGGATACAGAATTATGTTTTTCATACTTACTGATATGGAACTGCTCTCATATGTTTCTGGAACAGCAGAATTACCGACATCTTGCATCCACTGCAGTATATTTTCTGTGATACCACAACCAGCAGCATGTCCCTGACGTTTAGAAGCAAAAGGATCAATGACATCATTGGCAGAGTAAATAATGGAATGAAAAGGACTTGCATTGTTCTCAAAATATTTATTTGTTCGCTCAATATAATATGTTTCATTTGATGTGTGAATTTTTCCTTCAAACACTCCTTCTCGTAGTGATCCATATACAGCTGTTTTGGGTTCACCTGTTAATGAAAATAAACAGTTACATATTTCAATACAGAAAAAAATTAATTTTTTTATATAAGTAATCTTCTTTGATGGAAAATGTACAAACTTTTGAAGCTTATGTCACACAGAGTACATAGAGCTTGAAATTAGCACCAGTCTACCAGACCAAGACTTGTAAAAATTGTCAAGCCAGTAAAATAACAATTTTATTAGTCCAGTGGACCTGTAAAAACTTTTGAGATAATCTCTATCCTTATCCATTAAAAACATAAGACCTGAATGTTACAAAACACAACCTTACAGCATAATAAACCAATCCAATTCCACAGATTATGATCTTACCTCAGAGTTCAAAAGAGTTGAAGACACCATATTTTTATTTTAGAGCTAAATTTAAGTATGATAAATGATTTTGTAATGTAGTAACATACTGCTGAGGTTTCCAAGCCCTGAAAGCATAGCCTCAGTGAAGAACAGAAAACAGAGAAAGGCAAAATGTATGACAATTCAAAAAGAAAATTAGTTTTCCTTAAATCTTGCTTGACTGGTATGCCCTGACTCACTTATGATGACACAGTGGGGAAACCATATTGCACTGATTACAAGAAAGGTTGGGTAACTTTACTACAGGTTATTCAAACATGTACATTTCAGCAGTCACAAATCAGCCAAAATTACCAAACCAGTAGAACTGAAAGCAGAAAAAATGTTGAAGTAAATAAATGCAAATGTTCTGAAAAAACTAGTTTGTATATTAAAGACATTTCATTCTTTGGGCCAAAAATCCAAGGCCTTTTACAGATTTTGTACTACATTGCAAGATGAATTGAAAAATGTTGACTTTGTAAACACCTACAGGTCTGATAAACAAGCAAAGAATTTTACTCATTTTATGCCAAAGGCTCAGAGAATGAAATGCTACAAAATGTCAAGTAAGCCAAGATTCTCTCCATTACAAGGAATGGGTCTATGAATAATGAACTCAATAGTTATGGGTAAGTCCATTGGGCACAGCTCGTAAGGAGAAAGATACAGTTCAACAATATTTACAATAAAACTGAGCTATCTTAATGTATCTTGATGAAAGTTGGTAAGATTTTGTTAAAGATTACAAGTATTTTGTATTTGAACTAAAGATTGTTATTTTTCTATTGTAGTTATTTGTACTCAGACTCTGAATATTTCAAGTATTATCATCAACGTATTGTGCACTGAAATGTTTAAAATTAATTTGCAACACATGTCAATGAGCATTCTTGGGGTTCACTCAGCAGTGACACTTCAGCAGTCGTCAGAATGTTGGGACACTTGCCTACTACATTAAGCCTGATAAACTGAGGCTATTTGGCTTATGAATGAAGGTATAATTTAATAAACTCAAATAAAAGGAAAAAACACTTCAATGTTCAATGAAAAACTTTATTTACAATTTACACTTCAAGTTGTTTCCCCTTTATGAGTGCAAAGTAATTTTCATGATAAGATTAAAAATACTTTTATTTCTCTGAAAATTTTCCAATATCATTTGCATAATCCCTAAAACATCCTAAATAAATATCAAATGTTTTTTCCAAAAAAACGTAATATTTTATCACTTATTTTCTTTACCATAACTCTTTGATAGAGATAGTCATGGGTAAGCATGTACTATAAAGCCTCAAAGGCAGTACTATACAAAAAATTAAGAGTGGTTGCAGCCCTGATGAATGGCAGAAAACAAAGCTACTGCATGGTACAAACACCACCTGGATGTACATACGAGGATAAGTTCTTTTATTTAAAAAAAATGATTGTCCACAACCTAAACTGTTGTATAAATTATTCTTTATAATAAAAAATGCATAAGTAAAGAATACAAACGTTTATATTTCAATTACTTTTATCAATGTAATTTAATTCTTGTCTTCATAAAATGAATCAGGATGTCCCCTTTAGCAACTAAAATCCATCATTGTTGTATTTCAACAATTTGCCAAAGATCTACCCTGAAACATTTGGAGATTAGATGTTCTTCAAGGAAATAAAACCAATTCAAATATGTACCTTTAACAACTGGTCAAGTCTATCCTGATTCATTTGTAGATAGGATGAACTTATTGTTACTTGCCTTTTGACTGAGAGCCTCTAGAAACAAGTTATTTGCACTGCAAATAAAGTTTGTTTGTTTATCAGTGTAATTAAATTTAAGTTTGTCTACATTAACTTTAATTGCATTAATATGATAAGCAAATCTCTTAATGACCTTCATAATAGAATGTCATACTTTAAAAAAAACACTAAAAAACAAGTGCAAGTGTGTTTGTAACATGTGTTGAACTGGTGAAAGAGGGGACAAAAACCTTACTGATCCTCTCTCACTAGTCCAGTATATCCCACACTTATAATCTCACACTTAAAGTTGCAGCAAAATCTAAAATGAAAACAAAGTCAGAATTATAATGAAAACTACACTGTTCTTACCAAAATGTTATAACAAAGTTAAAGTCAAAAAGTTACCAAAATCTGCCTAACTAAGGAGAGCCTGGCATTTAATACTAAAAATACAATAACATCACATAAAGCCAAGTTGCACATGTCACTCATCAACCACGTGACCTTCATCCACTATGACTCAAGTGCAAAGGTGGGAACCTTGGGGCATTACCCAATTCACTGAGAGAAAAGACAGCTGTCTACTCTAGGACATCACGAGCTAGCTGCAAGAAAATGTGGTTAACTGCCAATTAGTGAACTAAGTCCATCACGAGCTAAAATCAGGAAAAGTTAGATGTTTTTTATTTGAGCAACTTTCTGTATCCAAATTGAACTGTGGGAAAATACTGAAATTTCATTATTAATATTAACTATGAGTATAATAAAAACATGGTACCATCCTGTATCACAAGTTACTAAATTATAGCAATTACTCTAAGTTAAATTATAATGAGATGGTTAATCTGCCAAATGAAATAAAAAAACTGTTCTTTATCCACAGCTATGAAAAACAAATTCCATCAAATTATTGCATAGCTTATTTCTGTGCTTTACCCAAGATAGATAAACACGTTCCTTTTTAACCAATAGTCTCTTGTATTGGTTTGTCTACATATTTAATTGCATTTAATTATATTACTTTAGTGGTAGACCATTAACATGCTATTTCAGAAAAAGCTGGTGTAGATACTGCTTTACTTGAACCAGAATGCACTACTCTAAAACAGAAGCAGTGAAGAAGCTGTATATATACACATAACTCAATGAATAAAGATGTATGTCAAATTAATAATGCTATAAAATACACTCCAGTCTGAGTCATTCTAATGATTCCTTACAGAAGTTCTATTTATTTTGTTTACTTTAAAAATATTAGAACAACTGTAAACATTAATCAAGAAAATGTTACACATTTTAAACACTGTTTGTCAGTTTATTTTACAGATACTCAAACATCAAGAGTAGTACTTGGTCTGATCTTCAGATAGTATGAAAATGACTGTCCCAACACATTGAGTGTATTTGATCTGCCAATGACACTGCCAGCACATTCAGCAGATTATACAGCCAAATGAAAAAAAAATTAAGAATAACTACGTAGTAAACTAAGTTGTACTACTCTGCAAGACTTAATGCACATCAATCTTCATTATGATGACATTAGATCACTTGGCCCAATCCTAGCAATTAATTAATGCCATACAAGTTTTGAAAAGGAACCACAAGGCCAGAGTAGCAGCCTTATGGAGCCAAGAAAGCAGCAGAGGTGGTTGACTCAATATATGAGAATTCTTCTGATGAGTCTTTGTGATAATAAATTGCCGAAAAAATTTATTTAAGATTTCACCAATTGTACAACAGAAAATAACCTATAAGTACATCTAATAATTGACTCATTTTTTGGAAAACGCAGCTTAATGATAAAACAAAACACGAATGTAATAACAGAAAGCATTTATTAAACATTTCAGAATTGTCCTAATTTCATCATTGGTAATCTAAAGGTACAAAACAAACAAAAACTATTTATTTGTAATTACAACAGAAATAAACACGTAAGAAATAAACAATTTGAATATACAATTATAACGGGAGAAAATTAAAACTGAGGCACAAATGAAGTAGTTAAAATAGGTTTAAATCCAGTGAAGACTGTGTTATTTAGGGATGGAAGAAGAGTTTTTAATTATAATGTGTCTTTCATAAGAAGTTCAGTATCATGTTTGGCTGTTGAAAGAATTTTAAAGTTTGAGAGAGAAATCGGATGTCACATAAACAACTAATCAAAATTATTGTTTCTGATTATTCTAACTATCCAAGTAATTGAAATAGTGCGATTATGATTATTTTTTTATTAGTTCAAGTTTGTTCAGCTTAACCAGTTAATGTCAACTCAAGAAAATAATCAAAATTAGCATTTACAGCTCCTATTTTTGATTATTCCAACTATCCAAGTAATCGATACCATTATGATTTCTCATTTTTATTTTTTGATTAATTAAAGCTTGTTCAACTTTGGACAAGTACAATCCAGTGATTATGGTAGTTTCTTTGTGATTCAAGGGTTACAGGTTTGATTCCTGTTACTACCAACCATGCTTGGCCTTTGAGCCATAGGGACATAATATCTGTTTCTTTGTTATTGCAAAACTACTAAAGTTATCTGCCTTTGCCCCTAATTTTGAGCTGCTAACCAGAAAGAAGGCAACCAGTTGGCAACACCCTCCACCAACTCTTGGGCTACCCTTTTACCATCAAATATTGGGATTGACCATGTAACAACATGACAGCTCTTACTACTTCCACTGGCATGACTGCATGTGATGTTATGCATGTGTTCTGTTTGCTTGCAGTCTACTAGCTACTTGTTAAATAACTTGCCTCAGTGATGTGTGTTGTTAGCATTTTCCTTGTTTGGAATAAACAATAGGGTAGCTTTAACTTAATATAAACTTACTTATTACAAGCTACAAACATAACCAATGTTACTCAGGGTAAGATTGTTTTACTAAAACAAGTTAGAGCAAATTAAGATTTATTGTTCTTCCTTTGCTCAAAAAAATGTTGATTGGTGAATAACTTGCTCATTCAACTTTGTTTGTCATAAATTACTAAACATGGACTAATAACAGTCTAATAAATCATTAATATTTGTCGTGAGGAGAGGAAATCCACTATACATTTTAAATAAAGCCCAAAGATACAACTTTTGAGTGGATTGTATATTTTTTATTTAACTTTTTTTATAATGTTTCAACCACTACTCATGTGACCAAGATATTTTTAGTGCAAAGTGGAACAAGTCTTTCAAAATTTCCAAGCTCAGGTTATAATAGAATTTGTTGGAATTTTTTTATATCATTTCTAGAGCTAGGTTTGTTGCTTCATCTTTTGGTATTATTGTATACATGGAGACTATGTCAGAACTGTACATTTTGTGATGAATGTTGAGGTCTTTGAGAATGTTTCAAAATTTTAAAACATCTTTAACCTTGTATTTACTGTTGTCATGTAATGGTTTGATCAGAAAATCTAGGAATTGTGCAAGCTCATGGTTGTAGCTGCCATAAGTGGAAAGGATGGAAAGATGTCAATTGGGTTTTTGTGAATTTTCGGAGCACCAAACAAACAAGGGGTACATGCAAGGGATAAGCTGTTGTACATGTCTTCTGTGATGTCATTGTTCTTTTTCAACTGTAAAAGTAGGCTATTCAATTGTCTTCCATAATATTCATTAAGGTTTTTGGATACTTCTTTAAATTTGGTTGAATCATTTTGGTGTTTTTTTAATAAGTTTCCATAATTACAGTTTTACCCCTTTGTCAGCCTTTACTATAATAACTTGTGAATTATTCTGCAATTCTTTTAGGGCTGATATTTGGCATATTTTGACATTCTGATTAATTTAATGGTTTTTCAGTAGATAACCTTCACTTCTACATGATATTTCATGGATGAAATAGTTTAGGTTTTGATTGTCATTTGGTATTTTAGGTAACCAAATTCTGTTATTCTTGCCTCGAAATGTCTTTATAGAAATATTAGTTATTCATGAACTAAAACCTAATTTAAATCAAAACACATATGTCACCCTTTTGTTTTTCTAAATTGGAACAAAATGCTCATGCAGCATTTCACAAAGTAGAGACAGTTACCTGATGATAACCACAAGTGGTCAAAATGTCGTAAATTATTTAAATAAAAATAAACCATCTGTTCAAAAGCTGTATCTTTAGACTTTTATTTAAAGTGTATAGTTATAGTGGATTTCCTCTACTCGCAACAAATGTCATCAACTACAGTAAAACACTAACTATAAGAGTTGTACGAGATCATCAATAGAAAATTCTGTTACATTACAATACTTAATAAGAGATCAGTGTTCTGTGGTATCTGGCAGACTACAATAAGGAAATTTGTGATTCACAACTCTTATGCATACCAACAACTCTGCAAAACCTATCTACAACTAGATCTTACAATATAAACAGCCGATCTCTTTAAGGACATCCACCTAAAACAAATGTCTTTAATGCCTAAGAAATGTCTCTAATCAAAAGAACAAAAGACCTAGTACCCGTAAGCTTTAAAGCTGTTTAATTTGTTGATTTCTCAGCATGTTCATGTGTTTAACTTTCTTCTAGTCTATACTGTAAAATTTAAACATATTAATCATTTTAATGTATTCCTTCCAAGACCGTACAAACAACTTTTCATGAATTTAGGAAACAAATCTGAAACTGTCTTAAATTTCTTTTTTACCCGAATATTTCTATCACATTAAACAAAAGGTAGTTCGAAACCATCTTTAAAAAGACCAAAATAAGAAGATAAGTCTCATGTGAGAATAATCAGTTAGTCATTTAATGAATTAGTTAGTTTCACTAATCACCCAGTTCAACATGTCATAATGTTATCTATCACTAATAATCTAAGAGAAATTATGAGGGCATTCATTACAGAGATGTGCATTGTGCACTTAGAAAGAAATAACACTATTAAATAATTAGAGGGGTACTCAGTAAAGCACATACCTCTGCCACAGAGCATTAATCATTTTTGAACCTCAAAAACAAAAATGTGTCTATATATATATAAAGATTGTTGTTGTTTGTAGTTAAGCACAAAGCTACACAATGGGCTATCTGTGCTCTGCCCACCATGGGTATCGAAACCCGGTTTCTAGCGTTGTAAATCTGCAGACATACCGCAGTGCCACTGAGGGGCCTATTTATATATCTGTTGTTATCAACAGATAAGGATTATTTTCGGCAGGACAATGAGAAATAATATTCTGCACATGTCCACCATGTTTCATCAGAATCCGATCATTTTTGATTGAGTTTTAGAGCAGAATACTATGAAAAATTGGTCCCAATGTTAACAGATATTTTTTTTATTTTTGAGACTTTGACCCTCCAAAAACTAATCACTTCTAAGTTGAATCATAGTCCAAATGTATACCAACTTTCATTCAAATCCACTCTGCTGTTTGAGAAATCTTGCTGAGAAACAAACACACACACACAAAGGGGAGAAAACATAACCTCCATCACCTTCTGCAGTGGAGATAATTATGTTATTGTTTATTAGTTTTTCTAATATTGAAGAACTATAAAAGAATAATATGTATAACCTAATAAGGAAACAAGTATCATGGAAAGTAATGTCATTTTTTAAAGTACATTATGGTAGAAAATTTTAATATGCATGTAATTTACATTTCCTATTTACAACTAAAAAAGTAACTAGTATACTGAATTATTTGGAGATTTTTTATACTTATCAAAAATGTCTTTAATCAATTTATGTTACTCACCATTAGGTAAGAAATATGTTTGTATATATGATAAAAACTATAACTTCAGTATTTTAATTCAGTAAATTTCTATTTCATACAAGTAGCAAAATGTACTGAATAAGAATTATTAATGACATAAAGGGTTGTTGGTGTGAATACCTTCTTTATAATAAATTACATTTGTCATAAGATATTAATGGATATGGCAGACACAACTACATACCTCTAAATCATTAAAATTCCCCTGGGTTTTTGGTCAAAAGGCTGTAAATGTAATTGCTTTGTTTACTAATGTAACAAGTCTCAATTACTTTACTATTTATGGCATTACTTTAGCTCTTTTTTTAGTCTTCTCACAAAGGAAAGACAGTAAATTATAATTATAACTTACAACTCAGAACTGTGGCTTAGTAAAACATCTGGATCATATACATAATACAATCAATTACAATAAAATAGTTCTGAAATTACTGCATGTATACACACAGTCTTTCTTACACATGCACTTATTATCCTAAAGTACATAGTAAATAGGCTTAGCTGACACTGTACAAACTCATTAGATGCTGATGAAGCAAAAACTGGTATTACAATAAATATAATAAAGAAAAAGCTAACTTCAAAAACGTGAATGTAGTCCTGGAATGTCATTGCTGCAATAAAAATATTTTTCGTAACAGGAAATAATAGAAAAGCTACATTAAAATTTACATGTTCATTCCACGTTCCTGCCAAACAAAATAAACTCACCCAATAAAACTCCATTATACAGATGAGATGTGTCCAATTCTTCATTAAAACCATTTGGTGTTTCAAATATAATATCTGGGGAAAATACTCCTGTCTCTCTCTTTAATCTTAAGTTAAAATGCCTGAAAATACAAAGTAAAAATGATTACAAAAGAAAAAGCAAGATAATAAAAACAAAATTTTAACAACACTCCAACAAGTATATTATTACATTGTAAGATAATTTATAATACTATATACTTCACCAAAATAGTTACAAATAGACTTCAAAAATACTTTAACCATGGATGACATGTATTATGAACCATGTACTAAGGGTAGTGTATTCTTTAATTATAAAACATGAGTAAGATGTTTTTCAATATTTAACATGTTTATTCACTTTTAGTATGTTTCTTGATCATTTTATTTTGTACATGTTAATGTAATATGAAGAATGTTATGTTCAAATTGTAATTGATGTAATGATCAGGTTTACATGACTCAACTATAATGCTAAAAACTTCCAAACTAATTCATTGATTTTGAAAAAGCTTTTGCCTTAATCATAGCTTGTGTTCCTTTGAAAATAATGAAATTTCAAACCATTTCAGATAAATCATTTTAACTATGAATTTGACATGGAAAGAAATGTTGTCTTTTTTTTTAAAGATAATCATATATATTCTGTAACAGGTTTTTTCTTTAATGCTAATACAAAATTCACAAAATCAAGTAGTTTCAGGGGCTTCACTTTTTGGAGCCATTTTAATGTGTCAAGTGTTTCACAAAGTTTCCCAAGAAAACTCTGTTGGTGGTGTAAACTGGTTACCTGTAATTCCTGTGGCTATGACTCAACATTTACTTATTATGTGAGAAAATATTATAACCTCATTTGATGTACAGTTAGCTAGTTTCATAGAGGTTTGCCTGGCAAGTTCAACCTCAGTAGACAGGTACTTTAGTTCTTGAACATTACTGTTTTTATTTATCAGACAGGCAGATGGCAGCACTGCCTAAGGTAGGGGTGGCTTAGATTGTTCATCGAAATGATATTTTAAATATATCCTCAACAGGTCATCAGAACTTTACAAACTATACAGTGTTTCCTTTTATAACAATATCTATGTTATGACTGAATCACAAGTTCTGGAAATGTCTGTAAATATCATAACAAAAAGTTGTTCTCTTTCTTCTGCTTCTTTTTTTATTATACGATAACTCAAAAACCAAAACAACACAGTTTCAAATGGAGTATTCATTTTTATAAGTATTATTAATAACTAGTAGTAATTTTAAAAAATCATAATTTTAGTGTAAACAATATTATCATTACCCCTTGAAGTTAGCTTTCTTACAGAAATTTGGCATTCCTATAAAAAGCTTTAGTACAAGGTGAAGCAGGAATTACCAGCCAACAATAGATAAGAAATGTTACAGTTGGAACCTTATTGTATATAATACAACCTTCCCATGTCTATTGAGACCATGCATTAAAAAAACAAGCAAACAAGTAAAAAACTTTTGAAAAAATAAATAAATGTAGGGATGGCCAAAATCAATCTTTCAAAAACAATGCAAACAAGATAGCAGGGATGGCATTTGCATTTTCCCTACAAAATAGCACAGGCAAGAATTTACATGTACCATATATAAATATATATATATATATATGCTATATATGTATATATATGTAAATACTAAATCAAAATTGTGTTTAATTTATCTTATTTTTGTCTCTTAACATTCTACTACAGTGTGCCTGTGCTATTATGTAAGGCTGATGCAAATGCCATCCCTACTAACTTGTTTGCTTTTTTTTGGACAGATTGATATTAACTATCCCTACATATACTTCTTTTTTTTTAAACGTTTTTTTTTTACTTCTAATAATTTAAATCCCCTCTAGAATGTATAAGTAATCTTGAAATGTTTCAAAAGTCCTGCAGTGAACCTACAATATACAGACAGATGGTAGTGGTTTGTAGTGTCTGATACTGAGTTGTGTTTTTTAGCATAACACTTGTTAAATTGATAGAGAGAAAGTTATTAAGTTCTAATAATACTCTTCAATAAATACTTTCATAACTTCAAATTCCTTCTCTTCTATTTTCTTTCAAATTTACTATTAGCCACTTTCCTCCTTACATTCCAACTGAATGTGCTCAAACAATTCTCAATGAGGCAGATCCATAAATACCACCTGGTGAGCTCCTGGGTGGTCTTAAGGAACACCTCATTTCTACAGAGCCTTGTACAACCGGCAGTAAGTACAATGAAATAGTGGTTGTTAGTGTAGGATTGGATTGATAAAAGCAAACCTACCTAGGCAACAAAGAGTGGGATCTAGTGAAAAATAAAAGAGGTAAGGAACCCTGGAAAATAAAGAGATAAGAGGAGTAAAAAAAATGCTCAGCCCTAGCAGATGTAGTCAAAATGGTCAAAAATCCTCAGAAGAAACTGCCAGATCATGTAAATAATGTGAGAAAAAGTACTGGGAGAAATCCACATACCAGCCCACACAATGTCCTCCAGCAGGCAATTCAATCAGCTAAAGATATAGAATCGTATGAGGTGTGACTCGCAGAAGTTCCCTCATCTGTAAAGATAGTCCAGAACAAGCAATGTGGATTAACTTGCAAATCCACCTCATCAAAGTAATCAGAGATAAATCACAGAAAGCTAAAGGATCCCAATGAATAAAAAATCAATTTCTAGCACCTCAAAAGAAGTTAGTGCGAACCATATAACACCTCAGGGCCCTGACATGACAAACGATTGGGGTCCAAGCGGTCGTAGAGGTGAGAATTAGCCAGCAAATGAATTGGTGAGAAGGATTTATTCCCTTCCCTGGCTGCCAGTCTTTGGAAGGAAGGACCTATCTGGGTATAGCAGGACACAAGTAGAGTGATAAAGAGTCCTGTGCACATGCAGTGCAAACAACTCCAACCTACAGGCCAGCAGCAACTAAAAATACAATTTAAGGGAAAAATGATACATAGCACATGAGGCTAAAGGCTCGATTGGATATCAAGACAAAGCATGTAATACCACCTTAATATCCCAATTAGGTAATTGAAAAGGATTTTTGGGACAAAGGACACAAAATGATTTAAGAGGACCAGATAGCACTGGGGACTCAAATAATTTCTGATGTTTAGAATACCAGAAGTAGTCAATAAAGCTGCCTTATATAAGGCAACAGTAGATGGAGCTAGACCTTTGTCAAAAAGCCAGATCAAAAAACAAGATATGGTTGGCACATTTGGGTAAAGTGGGTTCAATTGCCTCATGAGACACCACTGGTGATAAGTGTGCCATTTCCATTGATAAATGACCATTGTGGATTAAGATTAAGAAAAATGCAAGGCAATTTTAGAAGTTAAACCCCAATGCTGTGCAAAAGAAATCATAACTTCCATGCATGAAGTTTGAGCATCGGAATGTCTGGGTGTAGTATGTTGAATTGAGGTTGCCTCACCAGAGATGGCCAATAAGGAAGTGGCAGAGGTGGACAATCTTGAAAAAGAGGAAACTATGGTTGGGCTGGCCAATCCGGGACTACCAACAGCACTTGACAAGGAGTGGATCGAACCATAGCCAGAACTCTAAGTAACAGATGAATTATGGGGGAGGCATAGAGATGTACTCCCATTAGTCTTGACAGAATGCATCCATTGTCAAAGGCTGAGGATGAGATACCAGGGTCCAAAACACCTGTAGTTGATAGTTCTAATGAGTGGCAAATGCATCAATCATCAGTCTCAAACTGACAGCAAATCTACAGGAAAACCTCGCAATGTAGCATCCATTTGGTCAAGAGAATTCTGTTGGGCTGAGACAGATGATCTGCTATTAAATTCATCACCCCTGGGATATGGCAAGCTAGGATGCTGATATGATGAGAGTGAGCCCAGTAGAGAATATCCCGAGTTTGAAAACAAAGGTCCGTGGAATTGTCAGAATAATTCATGATGATTTTCCCTTCAATAGAGACAGACCTTGAGCCATTGCCCATGGGATAGCAAGAAGATCTAGAATATTGATGTAGAAGGAAGATTTGTTGTCTGTCCATAGACCCTGGAATTCCTGACTTGTATTGAAGCCTCTGTGATGAGATGAATCTTGTGACATGCAGGTGGTAACAGGAGCACCTATTGTAGTGTTGTTCCAATCCAACCACCACTCGAGATCTAAGACATTGTTCCTGAATAAGAAGACTGGATGATCCAGTGGACCTGAATCATTGGTAAAAGCAGCCTCAGAACCCTCTAGAGAGACCCCCCTCAGACCAAATATATGTCTCCATCTCACAACGAATCAGATCAAGGACAACCTCCACTGAGAGTGACCCCCCACCCCTGACTGTTTAGAGACACTGAATAACAGAGGTGGAATAGGGGATGTCTGATTAGCCTCCGTGCTGGAAACAGTAACCAGGAAATTCAAGCCTGAAAATGGTATGTCAAACAAAAGGATGTTTTTCTTCTTTTAGATTTGTTAAAATATTATTGAATGGAAATCAACTAGGTGACACGAAAATCGCACCCAAGAATGTTAACTTTTGCAACACTTCTTTAGAGAATCCCATGTCTGAATGACTTGTTGAGAAAAAGTGATAACATTATCTAAATGAGGTGCTTATATACAGTACCAGGATCCAGGGCACATTGACGTAAGTGGAGAGTGTCACAAGACAAATATTGCCAAGGGAAATTCACTGAGGTATAAGAAACCAGACCAATGCTTAGATGGGCAAAGGAAGAAATTCTGGTGGTCAAATAATAGCTATAAGTGTCAGAGGAGTTAAGTATATTTTAAAATTCGATTTGGAACACTTATTTTACTTTTCTTTGTAAATTGCACTAAATGAATGTTACAAAATATCAAAATACAGTTATAGTTATTATTTTTACTTCAACTTAGAAATCTGATAGGTAGATGTGTGCTTGGCTCCTTAAAAGAACTCTTTAGTCTGGATAGGGTTGAACTGCATATTCTCTTTCTTTCTTCCCCCTCATACTCAGTTTCATGCAGGCTACCAAGTTTGTTTTTTTTTGGTTAAGTCACTTTCTTTTTTTTTTATTATCATATGTTATTCCTTATATGTATTTTATTTATTCCATATCTTCTCATTATCAAGTTATTTCTTATTTCTTGTATTTAATCTTTTTCTTGCCCCTTTTAATGCTGAGAAATGTAATATTTATTCATCTTTCCAAAACCATCTTTTCAAAATATTTCTTACCATTAAAAACCTATTTTACAAATGGTCACAAGCTAATACTTCTTTTCCCTTCCATCAGTAAATTGACTAGTTTTATGCACCCTTAACTTTACTATATCATCTTCTGCCAGATCTCTTCTATCTCTCCAAAAACTTCTAAGTCAAATCTTCACTACCTTCTCCAAGTATTTAAAATATTTGTCAGAACTTCATTTGTAGTTTTTACTCTATTTTATTACTTTCCACCAGATCCATATTTAGACATGTCTAACTCTGTACAGCCCCTCCCCTTCTATTAAGAATTTATATCATACACATATTGTAAAATGAACATTAATAACCATTCCCAAAAGCAAAAACATAGGATTTTAAAATGGTTTTGAATAAAATTAATAAGATGTTTAGAAACCTGCTGAATAACAAGCTATGCCAATATATGTCTGACATTATAACCAGAACTAAATGTTCATTTTTGTATACACAGAATGATATATCATTTTTGTTATCAAAACACCTCTTTCTACTCAAAAGGTAGGCTGTTCTTTATTCTATAAATCCACTCATTATTGATTTAGAAAATTCTCAGAGAAACAAATAATAAATGCATATTTAAATAACATATACAGCACTATAACTGCCCATTGTTCACAATAAAAAAACAGAAAAATGTTTTTCTCATTTATAAAAATTCTTAATCTTATAGACAAAGTCATTTGTACAAAATAAAAATATGTAACCCAGTAACTATGCATTGACTTTAAAGCCAAATTAAAATGAGTCAAATATCTGACTTTAAAATTATTCAATTTTTGGATTCATAGAATTTTGAACTACAATCCAACAGTTATCAGTTAAAAGTTTATTTAAATCCTTCACAACATTTCTGATGATTTTCAACTTTCAGTTATTTCATAACTGAAACACTACATGTTAGCTGAAAAGTTTAAATATTAAATTTATGATGTGTGAGAGTATGGATATGAAGCACAGCTACACATCTCAAATTATTATTATTATTTCTTCATAAACTTGTGGAAACTTAAGATAATTAAAACATCTTTCAGTAGTCAATCATTCCACCTATGAAAATCGAGTCAGTAAAATAATTTGGGAAATTTTTTGTTTTTAATGAAATACAATTTAAGGTAAATTTTTATTACTTTGCTTTGATTTTAAGTAGTGTCACTAATACTTAACAGGCAATGGAAAAATTGCAAAAATTTATGCAATAGCTGCAAGTTAGATTACTGACAGTTAGTTCTAACAGTAATTCTAAGGTTTACCTTTTCATAAGTTTCAGTAAGTTTACTGGTTCTACAATAATAATAAAGAAGTTGAACCCACTGTAAAAAATCTTATTTGGACAGGGTTTATCTCCACAGTATGGCAAAAAAAAGTTAAGTTACTTAAGTTACTTTGAAAGCATCTATTTATTTGTATATATATATTTGTTAACTTACCTCCCATATGCATGAAAGTTTACTGGTACAAAAGAACTGTGGACAGAACGTTTGGCACGCAAGTGATTTTTATGTACTTCTTCTGGATTATAGGATAGTGATTCATAATGCTGAATGTATTCATTGAGTTGATTTGCTACATAAATGAATAAAACAAATAGATTATTTAAAATTATCACTTACTCAAAGCTTTTACAAGTAACTCTTGAATCTTAATTTTTAAAATAAAATGATCAGTAAATTGTCAAGAGTAAATATTGTTACGACAGTGGAAGTAACAAGACGCTGGGAGCACGCACGCTGGTGTTTCTCGAAGGATCATGAAGGCCCGAGTGCAATCGAGATGCCCTCTTTTTAATATATAAGCCTGGCGAGAAAAACCAGTGCAATTGAAGAGATAGATAATCGAGTCAAGCGAACAGTAGGCACCGTAAGTAAAGTGTGTGAATCGCTGTGATTTAG